AAGTCATTTGATGATTTTCCATCCACAAAATAGGCGGCAAAGTGTCGATACTAGATGACTGCACGGTTGGTGCGGTCGCTGGGCAACTGGCTGCCGTGCAACGTGTTGCGGGTCCGATTCTCGCACGAAACAACTCTTTTTGCGATCCACAAATTGTTATTCCGGGTCTGGGTCTGATGTGTATGTGACATTGTATGTTTGTAACCGCACCCATGACACAAGAGAAAATGCTAATGTTGTTGTTGTTTTCTAAAAAAAAGATAGCTTTTATTAACCAAATAACTCACAATGTGTGCCTAAAACTATACATATATCAACGAGATTCCAACCTATTGATACAGAAAGCTATCTAATAAACACTATATTTTACCAAGTAGCCATTTATCAAAATGAAAATAATATGAAAACACGTATTTATTGGCATTCAGTACTTGTATATAGAATCCGCCCTAAATCAAATATCTCTATGGTCAATAGACAAAACGCTATACAATACTTGAGCTGAATTAACAACTTTTTTTCATTCTTTATCATGGTATGATCACTGACTTCAAGAAAAGAAATAAATATTGTGAAAGGGACGGAGGGAGAGAGAGAGAGAACTTCATTCGACTTTAATACACGCGTTCGCTATCGTTCGATTAAATCTGTTTTCAATATATTAATTTTAAAATGTTACAGCTGTACACATCCAATAATTATAAATTTCTAAACAATTTTAACAATGTATACTATCACAATTTATTTCATAAGAAAGTACTGGTATTCAAAGCACAAGGTAAATCTTTTAGTTCGATGGAAGAGTTCTAACAGGATATATTATTACCTACTTTTGACATCACTAATTAATTCGTTTCAGTTGAACTGTGTATTACTTGATGTATTGCTTTTTGCGTTCTGTAAATATTTCATTGTAAATACCTCCCTCAATTCCAATAAACGTACATATTTATAGGGTGTGTTTTATCCGGAAAAGTTAACCTTTTTTTTAATGTCTAGAATAACACAAAGACGTTTCAAATTAATTCTATAAAATCACCTTGGCGTGCAGTCAAAGGCTTACCTAATATGACATGATACTATGCCTTTATAATTATAATCTCCAGTTGATTGTCTACTATTGTAAAAAGTCTTTCTTCAGTAGTCCTTAGTTCTATGTTGATTATCCTTACTTACAATAATTATATTAAGTTAAAGTACAAGAGCAGAACATAGTAAACAAAAAGGAACCACAAACGCCCACACCTCCTTAGGGAAATCACAAGCTTAGCATATACCTAATGTGAAGTCATAGAACAACTATCCAAAAATAAAATATGTACCTTTGACAACAGCCCACCCGTAGCAACCACGACCAAATGTCTTACGCAAATATAATAATTCGGCTGGCATTAAAATAAGGGTGAATTTGGTGTAATAAAATTTTCTAGTTAACGAAGTGTGCTTGACACGGGGTACGCTACGAATTCGGTCGCTCTAACAAGTTTAAACTCAATTTCCGCGCCCAAAACAAGTCATAAATCATAATGTTCACTTGTTTGGACTTACAAAATAGATATTTGAATCAACATAAGTTCAATCAAAGCTGAGTATTTTGTGGCCTTCATTAACTTCGTTAAATTTTCATCTCGTTGTTTACGTACTTCGGTGTTTTTTTAATTAATATTGTTTACTTTCGTGTTTAAGTATATTGAGTTGTTTGTGTTTATTAACAATCTTTTAAAATTAGGTCAAGTTTTTCAAGAAAACATACCATTTAGTATTTATCCTAAAAATTATAAAGCATATATTTTCGTTGCTCAAAACTACTAGAATGGTTAATATTTTAATATTTTTATATTTAACATCAACAAACATACGACTAATCACTAGTAGTGCCATCTGTTGAGTGCAAATACGACAATCCTCATTGAGGTGAGAGACCTACAAACATAGACTCACGCCTTTAACCCATTGGGAGTTAGTTAGCAAGTAAAGCAAGAGTTTCGTACTATTTACGAACTAACTACATACAAGTAAGTAGCTATACATACTTACTCTAGTTTTCATGTTCATACATCAGCATCGATCAAAATAAATAGGTAGGAGTGATCAAATTGAATAAACATTAATTTAATAAAAACGCACTTTCTGAAAATTTTACTGAACAATATTCTTGTTTCTGTACATACGGTAAAACATTTTAAACCATATAACTATTGTTTTTAGAAACAATATTCTTTTCTTCCACTTTATATTTATACCAATTACTTTTTGGGGAAATTGAAACCGCCAGTCACCATCCACCAGGCCAACAAAGCAATAACTCAATTAAATTAATGTACGAAAAGTTTAGTTTTCCTTTCAAATTTACAAAGTAATGAAAGATAATAAATTCCAGATTGAATTCAGAAGTTATTCTGTCGTTTCAAATCATTCTAATTAATGGTCACCCTATTTTTGACTTCTCAAAAAGTTCTTTATAGTACGACGATCATGATTTGTCATTGTTTTTGGGACATTTTTTTTATTTGTTGTTTATCTATTTGATGAAAATTAATAAGCTTGACGACTTGACTTGACATGATGCTGTTCTTTATGTATAGAACGATTTTAATGTCTTTTAAATAATGCTTAAGATCAAATGACGGCTTAGCTCTCTCAGAGTGTTACACTCTGCCACGGCCAATCCGGCCACGGCTTCACAGAAATCCAGAAAACAAAAAACTCAATGTATTTATCACCGTGTGATTCAGATGTCTTGATCCTCTTTCCACCTCAAATTCTCTTAATCCTTAAACCCCTTACCGCCAAAAGACCAGCAACGCAAAGGCAATTTCTTTGCTCATACGATGATCAGTGTGGTTTACTGCCTTTTACCATAAACAATAATCAGTAAATTAAGATGAGCTGTTAAAAAAATACAGGTATCAAGAGAATTAGTGTGTAATTTTCTTTAATTTAGAAAGATTTACATGTTATTTCTAAACAATGTTACAATAAAAGTGAATCTTAATTTATATTAATAATTACAAATCACCAAAACGGGACGGTTATACACTTTCTTGAAATAAAAACATTGTTTATGTCAAGGCACATTTTGCATTTCTTTCAGCAAAAGCAAGACTAGAAGTTCTTTATTATTTATGACTAGGGACCACGTTTAATAGAAACTACGTTTTAGTAAAGTCTAATATTACTGAAAGCCTTTTAACTTTTAATACGATATAAGTATTAAAGTATTTTGAAATTATGTCGTTAGTTTTTCATGAATGAATAAAATTAACTTTACAATTTTAAGTTGTTACTTAAAATTGCGTTTGAATTTAATTTTGTCGTATTTGAATTCGAAATTAAAAAATTATCAGTGAATTTGTAAAAACCTTTTTTGAGAATAATAAACTATTTTCTTGGTCATACGAATTTAAATTATGGAACAAGCTCCTAGGCTCAAATGAAGCTCTCGGACGTTTTAAAGATGCTTGGAATATCATCATTGACTTTAATAACATAAAAGAAATGTAATCATCGTCATGACCTCCTAAACTTTCAGTACAGAAAAAAAGAAAAAAACGAACAGACGCGACACCTGGTAAACAATCTGTACCGACAGAATTTACACAACCATAGGCGTTTTTTTTTTTTGTAAGGGGATAATCATCAAATGACTTCTCCCGCCCAGGGTGAGGCGGGAGGGAATATCAGGCTCTTACTGACTAAAAACCCCCGTTCCTTTTTCTGCTCTGGGCCGAGATCGCGGTGCCTCATTGCACTTACCCCGAAACCCCGGCTGAACATCAGCCCTATTTTTATAGTGCCCTGTCTGTGTTGGTCTATTGGCTCTCAGCGCGCGCGGAACGCAACGCGCTTTACGCTCGGGTCTGGTTCTGGTCGGGCGGCAAGCTACCCTCACTCGCCGTCCGCAGACCCGCGCTTACGGTGGCCGGAGATCGTCTCTTGACAACCATAGGCGTAACGAGTGCGTTTTCGGCCTTTTAGAAACCAATCTGTGTCTGTACCTACACCTATGTAATACCTGCAAACAAAACCTATAACTAGGTAGACTGTATATGTACCAATATATACATTTTTCACTGGTCTCAGTATCATGGTCATCCAATATACCTTTTTCGATAGCCCTCAGCATAATAGGAGGACCGGCCTAAGGGTCTAAGCCCTCTTACAGCCCTCTACAAACGTCTATGACGGACAGAGAGACAGGGCATCTCCTAAAAGACATCGGCATAAAAATTCATTACATTTTAGGTGTTTAAAAAATAGGGTTTTAAGCTTAAGCTTACATTTTAACATTTGATTCAGTTGTAAATAACGATGGTTTACTTTATTGTAACTTTATATCTAGCTCAGAGGTAGAATGAAGAATTCAATTCATGGAATTACCTAACTATTTAAAATTCACTGTAATAGTACCTTTTTCATGTGATAGTTCGGGAAAAGAGCACACGGATTACCTGATGGTAAGCAATCAGCTCCGCCCATGGACACCCACAACAACAGAGGAGTCACGCGTGCTTTGCCGACCTTTTGGGGATTAGCGATTTGGAGATTTGGGGATTGAGGAGGGATTGGGGAAAAGGAAGGATTGGGCCTCCAGTAACCTCTCCTCACACGGCGAAACACAACGCTGTGGTTGTTACACGCCGGTTTTCTGTGAGGCCGCGGTATTACTCTGGCCCGGCCGAGCCGACCCATTCGTGCCGAAGCATGGCTCTCCCACACTTACCTACTTAACTTTTTATAGAGTCTAAAATATAAAACGAGTATAAGATTTTCAAAACGTACTATTTGTGCACATGAGATCTATAAAAATATAATCTGTTATTTAATATAAAACTAACGTATTTACGTGTATATGTCTGATCCACCTATCACGACTCTTGATAACATCACACTAACAACGAATAGATTCACGAATTATCACAAATACTAAAAAACTCTTTACACACAAAACTCAACTCTATCGCTATAGGAAAAGATTTGAATTGAATTGTCACGTGTAGCAGGCGTAGGTTAATTTTAACGAGAAGGTCAAACGCGCTTATAAACACACAGAGTACGTTTGTACCAGGATTATTCATTCGTCTAGTCGCTCTAGTGAATGAAGAATAGTGTTCCGTTCAATTGTATTTAAAACTAAAACAAATTGCGTATTTCAAAGCCCTCGCATCACAAATTGTCATCGATCTTTAATTACGTGTAATAGAAATTGATGCAATTAGCATTTTTGTTGTTCAATACGTTTGTGATAAGTTTATCGGAGTGTAATCGGTATTGTTGGAGCCATGTGATATCTTTGCCTTTAAAAGTAGATATACGGAGGTGAACGATATCATCGCTAAAGTGTTTGGTGTACCTATTATACCACTTTGTGACTAACAATTCAAACATGCAGACAACTAAATTCAAGCCGTTCAGGTTATTCAAACTAGTATCTATCAACAAGGAAATTACCAGGTTAGTTGCCATTTCAATACTTAATTGATCCTCTCTTGTTTTAATGTCAGATATTAAAATATGTATTAGGTACATTTTTTTGCCATTAATAAATATCTTAGGAACTATTAAACCGGTTTTGATTTATGAAGTGTTTATTCTTTATCGTACATTCAGTTCAATCGTTCATTCAAATTCAATGTCAATAACGAAGTACGTAATCATCAGCTGTGTACCTTACATATAATAAATAAAACTAAATAAACTTTATATAAATATAATTAGTTTATATTTACTCTCATAACTCACGAACGGCTTCACCAAATTCGATGGTATTTTTGCCGTACATTCATAATAATTGCACTAGAGACTGAAAAATATATTCAATAGACGACATAGTGAATGTTTATATACAAACAATAGATTGTTAATTTAATTTGGTGTTATATTAATTGAGATAAAGCATATTACGGAATGTTGTTGTTACAAAAGGAGTACATATTTATATTGTTTACCTCTCTCTCTCTTCCTCTCTCTTCTACATCTTCTGTTTTGGACTCGTATAATAAATGTGTTGTGAGGAGGTCGCGGTGGGGTTAATTGCGTATTATCGAGTATTTTTACTGTTTAATCATTCAGCCAATTTTATTTTTAAGTCGTGGGTTTTGTTTTTTATATATTTTTTGTTAATTTTACTTATGTAGACGTAAAGCACTAGTAATACATAGGTAACAACCAAATTCTTAAAACGCCTTGTCGTCACCGTTTATGGTTTTTAAACTTTAATACGGTAATACGCGATTTGCAATTGATAAATTACCCTTATCCTGTAATAGAGTTTCATTATATTAACTGTAATAGAATTGTATTCGTTATATTTTGATACTATTCTTAGCATGCTCAATTGCGAGGGGGATCGTTAAGAAGTAGTAGACTCACATAACAGCAATAACAATTTTTGAACATAAAATCATTAACCTATTAGTGTCCTCTGCTGAGCAAAGGCGTCTTATCACACTACAAATGATAAGTTTAGGTTTCGACAAGATATTTTTTGTTACTTCACCGAATATCTATGGTGTCTCAATAACATTTGGAAAGTACTTACCTACAACGACGTCTAGACGGAAAAAGTCAAATTTGTAAACCTGCAAGTAACAATGTGACATTTTCCGACTTATTCATATGTACCTAAGTACTTTCATATATGCTGAGAACCGAGTATCGAATCTTTGGGTAACAAGGCGACAGAAAAAAACAATTTTGATCACATAGACATTGCAACCAGCACTTTGTACAGCAGTCAATTGTCCAGCCGCTATGTCAACCATACAGAACGCACACACATGTGCACTTGCACCTTTTCTGTAAAAGAAAAATCATCAAAATAATGGCTTTTCTGCCCGCCCAGGATGAGACGAGAGGGAGTGTCAGTCTCTTTCCGACTAAAAAACACCCCCGTTTCTTTTAACTGCTACGTTTGAGCCTTCTAACAGCCGCGCGTAACGCTACACGTCGTACGCTCGGGTCTGGTTATGTTCGGGCGTCAAGCTACCCTTACTCACCGTCCGCAGACCCGTTTATAATGCCGGGGTTGCGGGTTAAGCGCAATGAGTCACCGCGGCCTCGGCCCGGATCAGGAGAAGGAACGGGGAGGTTTTTAATCAGTAAGAGTCTGACACTCTCTCTTGCCTAACCCTGTGCGGGAGAAGTCATTTATTTTGATGATTTACCCCTGACAAATAAAAGGACGCGTTTATATTTGTTACCATTTTTGTTTTAAAGTGTAATAATGTTTGTAATTTACGTGTATTACCGTTTACAGGAGAATAGCTGTAGCAAGTACAACAGCCAATGCCGAAACAAACTTGAAATCATGGAAGGAAATTCCCGGACCTCCATCTTTGCCTATTATTGGGCAGTTACACAATTTCTTTCCTGGGGGTAAGTTTTACTTTAATACTTATTGTACTATAAATACAACAAAATAATATATTTTAATGTCCACTGTACCTGAGGCAATAAACAATCAAAATACGTACAAGATTTTGACGCAATTCATTAACACTTGCATTTTATTTCGCAATACGAACATTATCTTACAAAAAATTCAAATCCTTTCAATTCTTTAAAACTTACAACGCAATGGTAAGTTCATTAATTTAAGATCCTTGTACCTACCTTAACATGCAAATAAAGAATTTGAATTTGAAACTTTTGTTATTGTTCCATCCTTTCGAAGCAGAAGTCGGGTTGCAAAATTATTTCTTTCATATATCATTCATGACACTATCTATCCATCCTTTAAAAAAAGAATATGTTTTAATAACATTAATACCTACTTTTGTCGATTTTGAGGATTTAGACTTGCATCATCTTTTTTTATTCAAATATCGCTTCTTATACTAATTGCTTACATAAACTCGAAACTAAGTTTCATTTGCACTATAAGTATTTTCACATACGGAAAACCCAATGCTTATCTAAATGTTGTTTACACCTTTATTGATAACTGGTGTAACAGCTGTTGTTTTCGAGATAATATTATTATCAAAATATCCTCTTCTTGAGAACTTTCCTTCAGCCTTCAGATTTCAGGCCTGATTCGTTTGAATTAAACAAAAGGTTTGAACTGATATTTGGAAATAATATATTAAGAACTTGACTAAACTTATGAAATAATTGCACTGAGGGTCAAAATTTGAGTTGTATTTTACCAGTGCTAGTGTCTATTTTTTTTTTTATAGTTGAGGCTCAGTGGTTGCTTGGCAGATTAATTTCTAGCATAGATACAAAAGGTATAACCCGAATAGGCACAGTCATAGACACAGAAATTTTTAAAAATATATTTGGCTTGATGTTTAATAGTATTTTGATAGTTTATTACGTAATTAAATTTAGTTTTGTAATTTTTAATTTCATGTTTTCAATTTAAATTTTCCTATTAAAAATGTAAATTGTTAGTCATATTAATACCATTACTTATTTATACTATTACTAGCTAAATTAATTGCGTGTGCTAGCTTGTAAATAATTGTTACATTTGCAATGAAAACTTTAAAATAAAATGTATCAAAATAAGTAAATTCCATATTAAAATCCATTCGACTGTCTTTTATAGTACAAAAAATACATTTTGTTCCAGGTCAACTATATAACATTGAAGTTGTGGACACAACTCTCAAACTATATCAGCTGTATGGTCCCATCGTAAGATTCGATGGTCTGTTGGGAAAATCTCCCATGATAATACTCTTTGATCCTGAAGCTGCTGCACATGTAAGTCAGACAATGCAATTTTTAATTTTACTTGAGATACTTACATCAATTACTACTTAACTACTTATTTCAAGAAATAATAAATTGTTAGTGATATTGTAGTATTTAAATTCCCACACAGCAGAAAAAACTAGTCAGGGGGTTGCCCCTGATGTCATGTTTATGATTGTACTCACAGTTTACATACACACATAATACCACAACTAGACCCAGAACATTAATTTATTCCGTAAAAGAATAATAAGCACGGCACGCTGCACGATCAACCATGCATACACTTTTTATGTAATTAATTAGGTAATTTCCTGACATCGGACTATTTTGTTCTCTAATTCACAAAAAAAAATCATAGGCACATAAAAACATATCGTATAAAATTTATTAATCCGGTATATCTAACTATCTATCTACTATAGGAAACACTCGCACGTATAAAAATAATGAATCATTTTGTTTATGAATCCCCCACGTGAATATTTTATCACCAATGACTAGAATTTATAAAAATAATTTGTACCATAACAACATTGACTAGACTGTTGATAACATTGATAATTTTATGCTTTGTAAGCATCTAAAAATAGACACGGGTACTCATAGTTATTCTCGTATGATTTTAATCATTAAACACCTGTTTATCAATACATTTCTGACTTTGCACAAACTGGTAAAAAGGCCTTCAACAAAAATAGTTTTTTTATGGAATAGGTCGGCAAACGAGCAGACGGATTACCTGATGGTAAGTAAATCAGCGCCGCCCATGGACACCCGCAACGGAGGAGTTATGAGTGCGTTGCCGACCTTTGAGGGATTAAGGTTTTGAAGATTTAGGGATTGGGAGGGATCGGGGGAGGGGAAGGATTGGGCCTCCGGTAACCTCACACGGCGAAACACAACGCTCTGGTTGTTTCACGTCGGTATTCTGTGAGGCCGTGGTATCACTCCGCTCGAACCGACTTATTCGTGCCGAAGCTTGGCTCTCCCAAAACTAATTATAATTAACAATTTTAATAAAAAAAAACCATTTTGTTAAAAAAATGATATACTATATGTATGTCTTATTTTTACAGATATTACGCAGTGAAAACTGGCTGCCAATTCGACCAGGATTCGTGTCACTTGAGTACTATAGAAAAACATTTAAGAAAAAGTTTAATAAGGATCACGTTGCTCACACTACCGGTCTAGTCACTGAGTAAGTCAAGCTCAAATACGGTACACTCACTTACCACAAAACCGCTCAGTCTGGACTATTCTAAAAATAAAATTTTATTCAAATCGAACCGTGAACAGATCGTGACTATTAATCAAGTTATGAAGGATGCCCAGGATACAAGACCATATATTAATGACTGTCAATTATTAAAATTTAGAATTTGATTTCCAGTCACGGCGAAGTATGGAAAGAGTTCAGGTCTACGGTCAATCCAGTATTGTTGCAGCCAAAGACAATCAAACAGTATACGACAGTACTCGAAGAAGTGGCTCAGGACATGGTCGCAAGGTATGCTACTCTTCTAATAGTAAAAAATAATATTTAAGCCTTCATTAGGTAACGTTATAATTATACGTATCTGTTCACAGAATGAAAGCCAATCGCAACGAAAAAAACATGCTTAAAAATGATTTTGATAAAGAAATGAATTTATGGGCTCTAGAGTCTATTGGTACGGTAGCTCTCGGCTGCCGACTGAACTGCTTCGATCCGAACCTACCCGCAGACTCTCCGGAGTGGCAACTGATCCAATGCGTCCACGACCTGTTTGTTGTTGCCAACGAACTCGACTTCAAACCAAGTTTATGGAGATATTTTGCCACGCCAACTTACAAGAAAGCTATGAAGCTGTATGAACATCATGAAAAGTAAGAAACTGTCTACACTTTTATATGAGACATTCCATTGCTCCTTGAGGGATTAAAACAGCTAACAACTAATAATTATTTTTGTATACAGCTTAACAAAACACTTTTTGAAAAAAGGAAAGGAACAACTAAAGAATAATTCTGGTGGAGAAAATGGTGTTCTAGCGAAATTACTGGCAATCAACGAAGAGGTGGCTCACATAATGGCCAGTGACATGTTATTCGCCGGTGTAGATACGGTACGTTATAGTAACAAATATTTTTGTTTTCGTGTACGTTATTATCTAAAATCTGCTTCTAAAAAACTGCTTGTTCATTCTTAATCAGCATTACAAACCTATAGATCCTATATATTTGACTTATATTTATTCTTTATTTATTTATTTATTTATTGTACACCACATAGTTATAAAGGATAGCTTACAAACATTGAGTGTACAATGGGAGGTCTTAGACTTAGTCTTTAGACTTTTCGAAGGAAATATTGTAACGTTCTATAGTAAAAAGTCTGATAACGCTGATGTTCCCCGAATGTGAGAAAATCCCAACTAGGGTTGGTGATCGTAGTTGCTCAACATTCGGACATTAAGAATTAGTATATCCGAAACCGCTCTAATCGTCATACAAACTTTACTTGGAATTTGTATTACAGGCTGCAAATACAGTAACAGCAACCCTATACCTGCTGGCTACAAACCCAGAGAAGCAAGATAAATTAAGAGAAGAATTAAGGTCCGGTTCTGATCGTAGATACCTAAGGGCGTGCGTCAAAGAATCATTAAGAATTATGCCAGTGGTGTCAGGCAATCTTCGTAAAACAACAAAAGAATACAATGTGATGGGCTACAAAATTCCTAAAGATGTAAGTATAGTTGACATTTCTTCTTTCAAATTCTCTTTTTTTGCTAAGAGGGAACCTTGTTACGTCGCCTAGGTTATTGAATAAAAAACCAGTGAGTGGCTAGGGAGCCTCTTTATTCTTTCTATCTGTGCACAGAGGCACGCGTTCATTGTGCCGCCATCTTCCCTGAAGCCTTCTTTAATATTCTTCTACCTGGATTCTACGAATCTATAATTTAAAAACCTTTAACCTTATCAATAAACTTACCGATCTAGACATGAGTATTTCAATTTCGAGGTCACCAATCAAAATCTGTAGTAGTTTTTATTTCTCTCTTTTAGACTTTAGCTATTCATAAAATTTCTGCATGATAATTAAACATACGTATATTTTTTCAATAGATGGAGGTAGTGTTCGCTCACAGAGACATGTCGCTGCTAGAAGAGAATTACCCAAAAGCCAAAGAGTACATTCCAGAGAGATGGATAACCAGCAAAGACGATCCTATTCACTATGGAAATACACATCCATTTGCCCACCAACCCTTTGGTTTCAGCGCTAGAAGCTGTATAGGTAATTAACAATATATTTCTTTATTCAGACCAATTTATGTGAGCCGTCAGTTAACCTCCTCGTAAGCAACCGCCCCCCATAGACATCCTCTAAACCAGAGGTGTTACGATTGCGTTTCCGGCAGTTTTGGAGATTAGGGTTTCCGAGATTTAGGAATTGGGGAAGGATTGGCAAAGGGAATAATAACCCTGGTCAACATCTCACAACTTATCGAGAGAATGCACGTAGTTTAGAGTAAACTTTTTAGTATTCTCATGTCAACTGGTTCCCAGTTGACATAAGAATACTAAAAAGTATTTCATGCCTGTGACATGAGGATAACTAAATGACGTAGCTGGTCACAGTTCTCACTTAAGCAAACCAAATGTATTAAGTTACTGACTAAAAACCATTCCTTCTCCTGCTACGAACCGAGACTGCTGTACCATACTGCGCTTGATCCACGACACCGTACATATGTATCTATTGAGTTGCCGGAGTGAATTAATCGATGTGAACAAAAGCAACAACTTGAGTCAACTCATTTTACCCTATTTCTATTATCCAGTACATTTATCTACATTAATAAATTAAAATAATTCTCAGGTCGTCGCATAGCAGAATTGGAGATGGACATCTTCGTAGCTCGTCTGATTGAGAACTTCCAAGTTGAATGGTTCGGCCCACCGCCAAGGATACAGCAAGAATCTCTTAACTACATCAAGGGACCTTTCAACTTCATATTTAATGATGTCAAGAAATAAAATATAAATTAAGTGATTTGAAATTTGTAAAAAAAAAAAAAATAATTATGTACCTGCGTTGTGATGTCTTAAACGTGTACCTAATTTTGTTTGTAATATACTGATTGTATAAAAAGTATCATAGTAGTACCTTATTGACAGCATCGTATTGTCGTGTATTATTAAGTAATAGATAATATATTAAGCTTTCCGAATTACCTGCGACCCGCACTACCAAAACAGTTACAAGTACCTTATCGGTATTTTAGAGATAAGGGTTTCCGACATTCAGGGATTTGGAGGGGAAAAAATTTCACGTTCTGTATCCTTAAACATACGGTGAAATGTGTTTTGCCAAATACTTAGGTTCCGATAATAACCCCAATATATGTACAGAAATTGTGAAAAGAGATTTTAAACATTAAACATATCTATTTTTCATTGTAATATTTTACATGTCATGTATGTACCCGCAGACTCTCCGGAGTGGCAACTGATCCAATGCGTCCACGATCTGTTTGTTGTTGCCAACGAACTCGACTTCAAACCAAGTTTATGGAGATATTTTGCCACGCCTACTTACAAGAAAGCTATGAAGCTGTTTGAACATCATGAAAAGTAAGAAACTGTCTACACTTTTATATGAGACATTCCATTGCTCCTTGAGGGATTAAAACAGCTAACAACTAATAATTATTTTTGTATACAGCTTAACAAAACACTTCTTGAAAAAAGGAAAGGAACAACTAAAGAATAATTCTGGTGGAGAAAATGGCGTTCTAGCGAAATTACTGGCAATCAACGAAGAGGTGGCTCACATAATGGCCAGTGACATGTTATTCGCCGGTGTAGATACGGTACGTTATAGTAACAAATATTTTTGTTTTGCTGTAAAATATTATCTAAAATGGTGATGATAAAAAACTGCTTGTTCATTCTTAATCATAAACATATATTTATTCTTTAGACTTTTCGAAGAAAATATTTTAACGTTCTATAGTAAAAAGGTTGATAACGCTGATATTCCCCGAATGTGAGAAAATGAAAGACCTCCCAACTAGGGTTAGTGATCGTAGTTGCTCAACAGTCGGACATTAAGAATTAGTATATCCGAAACCGCTCTAATCATCATACAAACTTTACTTGGAATTTGTATTACAGGCTGCAAATACAGTAACAGCAACCCTATACCTGCTGGCTACAAACCCAGAGAAGCAAGATAAACTAAGAGAAGAATTAAGGTCAGGATCTGATCGTAGATACCTAAGGGCGTGCGTTAAAGAATCATTACGAATAATGCCAGTGGTGTCAGGCAATCTTCGTAAAACAACAAAAGAATACAATGTGATGGGCTACAAAATTCCTAAAGATGTAAGTATAGTTAACATTTCTTCTTCCAGATTCTCTTTTTTGCTTAGAGGGAATCTTGCAAAGGCATCTGGCTTATTTAGGAAAAAGTTCAGTAAAAAGTACTAAACTTCGCTGTGCACAACGGCACATGTCCCCTGCGTGGCTTTCTTCTCTGAAGCCCTCTTTAATATTGTTCTACCTGGATTCTACGAATTTTGAAACCTTTAACCTTATCAATAAACTTGATTAGCATGCCTGTAACCGATCATAGTCATGAGTGTTTCAATTTCGAGGTCACAAATCAAAATCTCTAGTAGTTTTTATTTCTCTCTTTTAGACTTAAACTATTCAAAAATATTCTGCATGATAATTAAACTTACTTATATTTTTCCAATAGATGGAGGTAGTGTTCGCTCACAGAGACATGTCGCTGCTAGAAGAGAATTACCCAAAAGCCAAAGAGTACATTCCAGAGAGATGGATAACCAGCAAAGACGATCCTATTCACTATGGAAATGCACATCCATTTGCCCACCAACCCTTTGGATTCGGCGCTAGAAGCTGTATAGGTAATTAACAATTTTTTTTTATTCAGACCAACTTTTTTATTTGAGCCGTCAGTTAACCTCCTTGTAAGCAATCGCCCCCATAGACATCCGCTCCACTAGCCATACCATCAACCATCGATTGCGTTTCCGGCCGTTTTGAAGATTAGGGTTTCGGAGATTTGGGATTTGGATAAGGATTGGCAAAGTAACCCTAGACATGTCCACTTATGGAGAGAATGCTCGTAGTTTAGAGTAACTTTATAGTATCCTCATGTCAACTGGGAACTATTTCATGCCGGTGACCTGAGGATAACTAAATGATGTAGCTGGTCACAGTTCTCACTTAAGCTAACCAAATGTATTAAGTTACTGACTAAAAACCATTCCTTCTTCTGCTACGAACCGAGACTGCTGTACTATACTGCGCTTGATCCACGACACCGTACATATGTACCTACATATGTACCTATTGAGTTGCCTGATTGAATTAATCGATGTGAACAAAAGCAACAACTTGAGTCAACTCATTTTACCCTATTTCTATCATCCTGTACATTGTTTTTATAATAACTATCGTGAGACATACTAAATTAACTAAAAATCGCGGGTTACTCACGTGTATAAATTGAGAAAAGCTCTACTAGTTTCGAACCGCAGAGGGGTTCTTCCTCTTGTGCAGCCCCTACACGGTACACGTGATTAGCCCGCGATTTTAGTTAATCCTGTACATTTATATTAATAAATTAAAATAATTCTCAGGTCGTCGCATAGCAGAATTGGAGATGGACATCTTCGTAGCTCGTCTGATTGAGAACTTCCAAGTTGAATGGTTCGGTCCACCGCCAAGGATACAGCAAGAATCTCTTAACTACATCAAGGGACCTTTCAACTTCATATTTAATGATGTCAAGAAATAAAATATAAATTAAGTGATTTGAAATTTGTAATAAATAATTATGTACCTGCGTTGTGATGTCTTAAACGTGTACCTAATTTTGTTTGTAATATACTGATTGTATAAAAAGTGTCATAGTAGTACCTTATTGACAGCATCGTATCGTCGTGTATTATTAAGTAATAGATAATATATTAAGCTTTCCGAATTACCTGCGACCCGCAATACCAAAACAGTTACAAGTACCTTATCGGTATTTTGGAGATAAGGGTTTCCGACATTCAGGGATTTGGAGGGGAAAAGATTTCACGTTCTGTAACCTCATACATACGGTGAAACGTGTTTTACCAAATACTTAGGTTCCGGTAATAACCCCAATATATGTACAGAAATAGTGAAAAGAGATTTAAACATTAAACTTATCTATTTTTCATTGTAATATTTTACATGTCATGTATGTACCTAGGTACGATTGTAAATAAATGTACATTTATAAATATATTTTATTATAAACGTAAGGAAATAACAAGTTAATATATTTTTTTAGATTTATATTAGCACTATTTTTATTTAAATAAATTACGTAGTTACGAAATGCGTCTATTATTTACCGAATTCCAGTTTAAGCTTAATTACCTAAGACCAATGACGTATTATATATATACACGTCATGAACCAACATCGCGGCGCTTAAAAACGGCGAAAATACTAGATAACTACTTCTACGAGTAAAGAAAGGGAAAGAAAATATGACATCGTATAGTGGAATGCCTTTGCTAGAGGGAGATAAATATACATCTTCAGTTACATCGGCACGTGACTATACCTTCATGCGCCGGCCGCCATAAATTGGCGGGCGCCGGCGTCGAAAAAATAAAATAAAAATAGGTTGTTTGGTGAACTTACGCATGAAATGACACATTTTTGTCTTTAACTTTTGGAGTATAATTTGTACATCGTCTGAACACACACGACGGCATGCTTTCTTTATGTTTCGCACAGGTTTACACACACGATATAAATTAAAAACAAACGTAGCGTCGCGCGGCAGGTTGGTGCGTAACTAAGCGGGATGTTGTCAATTGCCTTCATTTCATGTTGTCATTTTAGAGCGCGGACAACGTATCTATAGTTTTATACATCATTGCCTAAGACGCAGCACAAGACACTACTGCCGCATTACTTGACTGAATGATAACTGAACGAATAATTCTACCCGAAAAGTAAACACATAGACATACGTTACAACTTACAACAAAAACACAATCAGTAAAAATACCAATAACTAACCTTATTACAACCAAACAAGGCTTATAATCTATAAAATATCAATCATCACTCATCAATTTAAAAAATGAATCAGTCTAAAGCCGGTTAAATAATATCCAAGGTCATACTAGTTCAAATACGTCTCGGTAGAACGCACAATAAACGTCAACTTGTTTACGGTTACTAAAAAACTAATAACGTTTCAATAACAGAACTATTTTAGAAGTCTTCACACTAGGTCGCTATTATTTTTTTATAAAAAAGTTAAAGACGTTCCTATTTCGAATTTAATGTTATAGTGACACCTTTATAGGAAAAAAGTTATACGCGCCATTTTGTAAACAAAAATATTACCGCGTTCGAAATTCGAAATAAATATTTGGATTAAAGAAATAATTTTACCTCTAGATACAGATAAAATAGAAACGTGCGTGTTCCGAAGTGGCTATTATGTACAAGTGACATGATAACGGATTTTAAATAAATAATAATATCGGTATATGATTTTGTTATTCTCTGATTAACAACATAAACATGCAGACGACAAGGTTGAGGCCGCTCTTCCAGTTGGCGTCTCTTAATAAAGAAGTTATAAGGTAAGTGCTAATATACCAAAATATTTTTGATTCAGTTCCAAAAATAAATTATAGTGTCTGTGATCGGTGCATGATATGTATTTATAAATTAAAGAACGTAGTGTTTACATAGGTACTCGTTGTAAATAAATCAACGTCGTCGTCTTGTTTTTTTCACTTTGTTTGTTTTTTTTTTTTTTTGTTTAAAAAGGATGGATATCCATTCATTCTCAATTTAAATTAAGTAATTTTAAAATAATGTTCCTTTCTATTTTCACATTAGTTCATTACCAAGTAAGTACATAGCATACGTAATATACATTAATTCGTTTAATTTCATACGCCTCGTAATAATACCTACTATTTATTTAACAATACATTATGTTTATCAGTCAAACGATAAAGAGAGGGGTATTGTTTGTAAATAAAATTGATTTAAAACACTTCACTATCGAGTGACTGGTCGTTTACTCATTATACCAAGTACTTACTAGATAAATATTTTAACGACTACAAAAACACGAACAAAAATTCATCGTTGTTTTACTGTCCGATAAAAATGTTAACGTAGTTTTTATTCTTTACTAGCTACCGCCCGCAGCTTGGCCCGTGTGGTATGTTGATTACAGGCACTCTCTATGTTAGTCCAGAATATCACTTATCTATACATATACCAAATTTCAACGTGCATACATATTTTTGTGTGAAGTAATAATAAACATATCCACACATTCTCATAAACTTTCACATTTGTAATTTATTGGATATTAGTACTTAGTATTAGTAGGATAAGACCATTGCTGTTTCTTGTAGGTCGATTCTTATAAAGTGAAAAAGAAAATAAAAAAAAATTACGGGATTTTTGAGATTATTTATCTTTAATTTCCTATTAGTATTCTGGTATATCCAAATTCGCAAACAGTTGAGTTTAAATATCACGTAGTACCTACATTATCAATGTAATCGTATATTAGGTACAGCTTAGGTTGCGCCCGGTTCGAATCGAGAAGTAACGGGGTTAGTCAATAAGAGTCGGATACTCCCTCTAACGCAGATAAATGAATTTTCCTTCAAAAAAAGTGTACCTAGGTATACATATTTTCCGTATTAAGTATATATATGTATTTACATCTTTCCACGCTGGAAAGACCTCATGCTAGTTGGATCGACGACTTCGTCAGAGTCGCTAGAAGCCAAGGGTTGGGAGTGGCGACTTGTCGTTCGGCGTGGCGAACTAAGGGAGAGACCTTCGTCCAGCAGTTGACGTCTTCCGGCTGATGATGATGATGACGATGATGAAACGAACATATGTATACCTAGGTATACTTTTTTTGAAGGGAAAATCATTTATCTGCGTTAGACGGAGTATCCGACTCTTATTGACTAACCCCACGCAATTTTTTGTTCATTTTAAACTAAATTACAGGACCGTTGCTGTCGCCAGCGCAGCAACCAAAACAGAAAACTTGAAATCATGGAACGAGATCCCAGGACCACCGTCATTGCCGATTATTGGGCAGATACATCATTTTTTTCCCGGAGGTATTTATTTATATAATTCATACCACTACGCCTCATACCTACGCATGTAACAACTCACTCATAGTTTTTAGTCAAATCTCCGTGGTGCTTGAACATCTTCCAGTTGTCCTTTTATACCGTTTCAAACATATTGAGGAAAATGTATGCGTTTTTTTTACCAAATAATACGGCAAATGAACAATGATACCAGATCAAACAAACAATGCAACAATGAATTTATTTTTGCAAATAATCCACAAAACAACCCTTTTACATGTCAAAATTATATATAAAAAACCAGATGAAGTCGGCATTTCCTATCTGACTATTATGAGAAAAAAAACCAAACCTAATTCAGAGTACCGTCTCTTTGTGCCGTCTCGACCCGCATAGACACCTGACCGAGATGGCCCATATGTGTCAAAGTATAGCTCTCTTACAAGTGGTACACTTGGTCGGTTATCAACTGTTGAAGATGACTGTCGAAGATGATGTCAACTTATTTAGATTCAATTTTACCTGTTTCTCTTTTATCCTTTCGAAATAATCAAACGACGCTAAAATATACAGTTAATTTGATATCTCAGTTTCATCTATCCACCTTTCTTTATATTTACCATTGGAGACGAATGCTAATCTGTTCATTATGCAATGGTTATTATTAATTAGATTAAACCGTTAATTGATAACCTTCATATTATTAAGTCATTACCACAGATATACGTGAACGTTTTTATAGGTATATGTACCTACAGACTGTGAAAAACCAATATTAACTGACCATTTTACTATATAATTAATATTTTAAAGAGAAAATATTATATTGTTTGTTTGAATTTAATTTTATAACTTCGTTGTCAATTAAGTAATCACTGGCGTGATCCAGAGACAGAGGTCTCAGGTTTAATTCCCAGATCAAGCAAAATGGATCCTTAACAGCACAGTTTGAAATTTTATCCTGCACTTCACCAATAATAGACTTAGTTATTATTAAAATATTGGATAATATATACCTATTTTATAATGTATTACCCGTTTTCTAATGTTATATTTAATATTTACAGGAACATTGGGTAACATACAAGATCCAGAAACTATAATGAGACTCTTCGATAAGTATGGACCAATGATAAGGCTGGACAGCATACTTGGGAAACCACCTCTGCTCTTCCTAAGCGATCCTGACAGTGCGGAACTTGTAAGTTATCGATCACCATTTCATAAACACATTTCTTTCAGCAAAAAAAAATATAATAATAACAAACTTCAGCCAAACTTAAGCTTATAACATCCGTTCACAAAAACCCACAAAGGGATCTATAATTTTTAATTTAAACACAAGATGACTTCTCTAAGTTCATTTAATCCAAACTACCTATATTTCTTCTATCATGTCCAATGATCATGTCCTTTGTGAGAAGTAAAAAAAACTAAAAAATCGAAATGTAAATACTGTTTCACCAAACCGAATGTAAAAAATCATAAGCAAACCGCAATTACGTTGAATTACAAGAAACAAAAACTTTCGGGCAATTATTTACCAAGTAACACGTCAATAGATAAAAACAGCGTCTAAATTATGCATTCAAAATTCCACATACTATTATGTTGTTTGTTTGATAATAACAACGAATAAAAACAAGACAGTCATGTCGATTTGTACACGTTGCTATCTATCTACTAATGATATAAATAACAATAGATTTTAATGATCACTGATATGTTTTACGTGCATAACTACCGAACTACTCGATCGAACTGGATAAATCTAGTTTTGCATTATTTATATATAGATACTGTCAGAAAAATTCTTTGTTTTGGAAAAAAATGAACCCGAATATAAGACCTGGGTAAAGCTAGGGCACATCGCAGTTATATGTATCTACTGATGAATTTATATTCTCTGGTAATCCAGTACGAGTATAACTCACGAACGGCTAATCGGATAGTTATTTAATTTTATGTCGCCTTCCCCTTCGCTCTCACTCGCATCCGTTGGCCCCCCGCCACACTGACGAGATCGTCGGTCCACCTAGCACGAAGTCTTTCCACCTGGCCATTGGCCTGCCCATTTCCACTTCAGCTTGCAGATTTTAACTTAGTTTGTGTTACTGGAAATAAAAATAAGCAATACATTTAGCCATAAATCAACGTCAGCCCGAATTTTTGTTCAGATCCCACCAACCATTTTGACGCGATTAAAACATAACTTTTTTCTAATTTGTGTACCCAAAACTCCTACCCAGAATTAGTACTCAAATTAAAACTATTCATACGAATTTATAGTTTTGAACAAATCTGATTATATTTTATACAAAACAAGCAAGTTTTGTATAAAATACATTTTGTAAATAATAGGTTTTTTGTGTAATCCACAAAATGTTGCTCCGGGTCGGGGTGTCATCATCATCATCATCATCAGCCTATAAGTGCCCACTGCTGAGCAAAGGCCTCTTCTCACACGGAGAAGGTTAGAGCATTAATCACTACGCTTGCTCAATGCTGGTTGGCGATTTCAAACTTATAACTAGAAATTGTAAGTCCAGGTTTCCTCACGATGTTTACCTTCACCGTATGTCAGTGGTGTCTAAATAATCATAGAAAGTACATATAACTCGGAAAAAGTCACATTGGTACTTGCCAGGTTTCGAACCCAAACCCTCATGCATGAGAAGCGGGCTCTTTAATCTCCGGGCCACCACGACATTTTTTATGGTGGTGGTTGTATGGGTGTATCTCGTCCGTATATGTTTGTAAATGTAAACGCATCCACAACACTGGAAGCGTTCCGCGCGCGCCTCAAAGAGCCATTAGACCACCACAGATGGGGCCCTAAAGGGCTGATGTTCAGCCGGGGTTGCGGGGTAAGCGCAATGAGGCACCGCGACCTCGGCACAGAGCAGGAGAAGGAACAGGGGGGTTTTTAGTCAGTAAGAGTCTGACACTCCCTCCTGCCCGGCCCTGGGCGGGAGAAGTCATTTGATGATTTTCCCCTCACAAAAAAAAAAATCCACAACACTGGAAAGATATAGTGTGGTACAGAGTTTCTTTTTCAAAAAATAATGTTCTAACTCATAGTTTATTTACTTATCACTTAACGAATTAGTTACCGATTAACATTAACATTATTTTCTTAACCCACTTCTTAACTACTAAATTACTTATCACATTTTAAACGCATCATTTCTTAATATAACACAATACATATTAATACTTATAACACTAAATCTATTTTTATATCCAAAGATATGTTTTGGTCTATATCATTTCCCTCTTTCATTCTTCTCTCACCAAAGAAGTGGGTATCACAAACAGTTTTCTTTAACGATCTTATTATCCCTCACAAAACTTTCCTGTTTAAATCTAGAAACCAAGTCACACAGTCAAACCTTTGCAATAATTTAATGGGGCTTCACTACATAGTATAAAACAAAGTCATTTTCTCTGTCCCTAGAGCCTTATTTATGCTAAAATCTTTAAAACTTCGCAATAGATTTCGATATGGTTTTTTAGTAGATTGTATAGTTTACTTATAATTTATAAGATCAATTAAGTCATTGACTGCCAACTGTGGAGGGTTAATCCGCTAGCTTGGCCCACAGGTTCTGTCTTAACGTGTTAAATAATGGAGAAGTTTAGTATTAGCATTGTATCCGTGCGGAGTCAGGGCAGGTCGCTAGTAGCTTATGAGATACTTGACTTTGGAGAATAAACATAAATAAATAAATATATTGAACCAATAAGTATTTTACATATCATTATTAATTAAGGATGTAGAGAATACAGCACTTGAAAAATAATTTAAAACGACATATAGGTATAAACAAACATTTTCCAACTATTCAAGAATATATTCAAGATATGATTAAGAAAACGTGATTACTATCTGATAACGCCATGTGTGAGATAAGTGTTATGAAAGATAGATAGATACGTCCACGTCCTTTTGAATATTCAAGTACTTAACAATAGAATACGATGTTTATGCTACTTTATTATGTAGTAAGAAGAAAAAATCTTGACTTTTTAATGGGATTACAGAAAAACTTTCAATAAGGGTTCAATTCCTGCAAGAGACAACTTTTAATATGACCCATAAATGGTTGTTCTAGTTGACGTGTATTTGAAATTCTTTGTTTGTTCACCCACGACACAAGAGAAAATCATAATGTAGAGCAACGTTAAAAAAAGAATTAAAAACTGTTATGATCAATGATTTCAGAAATGTTTGTAGATGGCAATACATAGGTCAAAGATCAAATGTTTCGGAAAGAAAATACAACTTCGTTGCTTCATATTTGGCCTACGGGCTTAGCCCAGCCGTTGATTTTCTTTCATCTTACATTTTGAATCCCTTTTTCAGATTTTACGAAGTGAAAACTGGTTGCCGTACCGGCCCGGGTTTCAGTCACTTGAGTATTATAGAAACGACTACAAAAGAGAGAAAGGACAAAAAGTCCAAGCAACAGGACTTATATCTGAGTAAGTTGATATTTTCAAAACACACACTATAGGTCTTTTTAAATATTCTTGCAATTGCACACAACACCTCACACATCAAAAGCCTATAAGTGCCCACTGCTGAGCAAAGGCCTCTTCTCACACGGAGAAGGTTTGGGTGGTTGCTCAAGACAGATTGGTGACTTTAAACTTATAATTAGAAATTTTAAGTTCAGGTTTCCACACGATGTTTTCCTTCACCGTATGTCATTAGTGTCTAAATAATCATAGAAAGAACACATAACTTGGAAAAAGTCCACATGTACTTGGTAGGTTTCGAACCCTGCCTTAACCTCCGGGCCACCAAGACATCGGTCCATAGGTATCTTCTTGCAATTTCAGAGAATTAAATTTTGCATGTGATATTAATTTATTTCACTAGCAAGTACGGTGAAAAATAGACAGGGTTCAACAGTGTAATTGTACTTCACGTATGCTCAAGAAACTAAAACCTCTTTAAAAGAAGATGAAGGTCAGCGGTTCCCACGAGCGGTTCCATAACTGAATTATTTAAAGCATTAAATTAAATTTTAAAATAATGAATTACAATTGCTACAGTCGTAATAAAATACCCAATGAACAAAACGAATAGTTATTTTTAATTGATTTCAACAACATTTAATTGGAACATTTAGTTGGACAGCTAAGGCGACATGCCAAGTTAAGATAAAATGTAAAAAAAAAAATATTTTTCCAGTCACGGCGAAGTTTGGAAAGAGTTCAGGTCAACAGTCAATCCAGTAATGTTGCAGCCAAAGACGATCAAACTGTACTCAAATGTGCTTGATGAAGTGGCCCAGGATATGATAGTCAGGTAAGCCTGTCGAATATCCATTTAACCTCTACAGTTGGGACCCAATAGTACTGATGTTTAGCCGGGGTTGTGTGTTTTAGCGCAATTATGTATTGCAGCCCCAGCCTGGACCTTGTGGACCTTGAGAAGGAACGGAGTAGTGTTTTTTCAGTAATTCTGACAATCCGCAGTCTGCGATTTCTCGCCCCAGGTCAAATGATGATCCCCTCTTCCCCTAAAAAAATACTATTGAATGTTATGGATATATAAATAGCTTCTGTCTATATTTACTATATTATTTAAAAGTTTTTATGTAATTTCACTTTGTCGAAGCCACAGCACGTTTTTATTTATTTGGAAGTTGTTACTGAGTAGTTTTAGCAATTGTATAACAATATACTTACTTATAAACAAATTTCTATGTAACAAAATTATTTGGTAAGAGGGATGCCTTATTTTACTTATTTGGAATAAGTAAAATAAGGCATCCCTCTTCTTACATTATTATTTGAAGGAAATACCTATATGTTAATTATGACCAAGCGCATTTTACCTACTAAGTATGAAGGAAAATATTATATGAATAGAATCCATGTTTCCAACGAGGAGACACGTGTCTCATTATAGAAATAAATAAATTAACAGAAAGAGAACACGTGTGCATAATGCATAATTACTTCAAATTTTGTAGAAACTGTTTTTTTTTTGCAAATTCTTAAATGGCTACAGAATCTTGCTTAGGTATATTATATTACGTTGATTAATTATACTGTCTAGTCTATGAAGTTTCCTAGGTTTTTCAAACAACTTTACAACTACGCCAAAAAATGATCAAATGTCTTGGCGCCATTTAGATTTCAGTGTTCATAAAACGTTAATCCGATCGATCACAGATTAAATGAAACTAAAGTTAGTTACAATAAAATCGGTTGAACATTTTCGACGCTAAAGATTATCAAAGAATCTAGTTTTCGTATAAAAATGCATATGTACCTACCTATTCTATGTTAGTATGCGAGAAGAAATGCGTATTATTTCCTAAATCCTACTGTTAATATCACAGCTTCGAACGGAACACGAAACTCATCCAATCATTGAGTTCAATCAGGATGAGATTGGGCGGAATAATGAGGAGCATTCATTTCTGCCAAAAGACAAATGCCTTTTCCCTCCTCTCTATTTATTAATTAAATTCCCCGGATGAAATAAAGGATGTCTTTTATTCCGTTCCTTTTAGCCGGTAGACAATAAGATGCTTCATTTAAAGGAAATTTAGCGGCCATTTTTAATTATTATCACTTACATTCATTTATGTTTGAACGGTTGACGAATTAAATTAATTTGGACGGTCATCTGTGTTAATTAATTTGGATTGTTAGGATACTGATTTTGTATGTGTGTATCTACTGTATTTTATCGAATGCGTTGTTATAACTCGTAGTTAAGTCGCTTTCTCTGTCCCCATATCCCTATGTATACTTAAATGTTTAGAACTATGCAATGGATTTTGATGCGGTTTTTTCTTTATTGAAGAAAAATTTTTGTATGAGCACTGCACCGGTGTGAAGGTGGGGAGTGTGTGGGGTCGCTAGTTTAATGATAAAAAAAATCACACATTACAATTTATTTTCAGAATGAAAGCCAACCGTAATGAAAAGAACATGCTTAAAAATGATTTTGATAAAGAAATGAATTTATGGGCTCTAGAGTCTATTGGTACGGTAGCTCTCGGCTGCCGACTGAACTGCTTCGATCCGAACCTACCCGCTGATTCTCCAGAGTGGCAACTGATCCAATGCGTCCACGATCTATTTGCTACAGCCAACGAACTCGACTTCAAACCAAGTCTCTGGAGATATTACTCAACGCCAACTTTCAAAAAAGCCATGAAACTGTACGAACATCATGAAAAGTAAGTTTTAGAAATATCACCTCCTTAGTTTGTTTCTTTTTTAAGTTTTCTACTTATGTATGAATTCTGGCACGAATAGATCCTGGCAGTTAGCGAACTTTTCTTTGACATTTTTTTATCTCATTAATATTTCCAACCAAACATGATTATTGCTAACTTGAAACTTTATTTTAGTTACATCCTTCTTTTTGTAATGTTAAAACTAATTCTTATGATTTCAGTTTAACAAAATATTTTATAAAGAAAGGTAAAGAACAATTGAAGACGAAGCCCGATAACGAAAAAGGGGTTTTAGAGAAACTGTTAGAAATCAATGAGAACGTGGCTCATATTATGGCCAGTGACATGTTATTCGCTGGTGTTGATACGGTAAGCTATTTTGAGTCTTGTTGACAAACACCATGATACATTATCCTAATCTGCCAAGTGTAGGAGAGATGCTACACTTGGAAGGTATGGGTCGGCTCGACCGCAGTGATAACACGGCCTCACAGAAAACGGGCGTGAAAATACCACAGTGTGTGTATGAGGTTACCGGAGGCCCAAATTTCCCCTCCCTCTGTTCCTAACAACCCAAAAGGTCGTCAACGCAAAGCTCGTCTTCTCTTCCGTTGTTACCATGGACAATGCAGATTGCTTACCATCAGTAATCCGTCTGATCGTTTGCCGTCCTATCACATAAACAATCGATTAATATTAAATGTGAAAAATTATTAATTTTTACACATACTCTATTATTTTTTAGGCTGCAAACACTGTAACAGCAACATTGTACCTTCTGGCTAAGAATCCGGAAAAACAAGAAAAACTAAGAGAAGAAATAATGTCCGATGCAGAGAAGAAACCTTACCTCAGGGCTTGCATCAAGGAGTCGCTCAGATTAATGCCCGTGGTATCAGGGAACGCTAGGAGGACCACAAAGGAATACAACATAATGGGATACAAAGTTCCTATAGGTGTAAGTAGATTAACAAAGAAATTTGTTTTTTAGAATAGATGTTTTAAGTAAAAAAGAAAAAAAAATACCACTTATTAGTGAGAAAGTAGTTATCTATAGGTACTAGTCTATACTAAAGAGGTAAAATTTGTAAGTTTGTTTGTTTCTAAGTTTGTATATAGGGGGAATCTTTGGAACCACTGGTCGGATTCCCAAAATTCTTTCACTTATTGATAGTAATATCTTTCACTACAACCTAGCAACGAGTGAAACCGTGTGGGAGTAGCCAGTTTCCAATAAATTTAGTATGTCTTACGATAGTTGCTGTGAAAAAAAGAACACTTTTATAATTATAAATGTTCCTAACTTAACATTTTAGGTAGACGTGATCTTAGCACATCGAGAAATGTCCATTATGGAGAAGTACTATCCGAAAGCCAACGAGTACATTCCAGAGAGGTGGCTGACCAATAAAGATGATCCGCTGCACTACGGCAATGCCCATCCATTTGCCTATGGACCCTTCGGTTTTGGAGCGCGGAGCTGCATTGGTATGTTATAGTATAGATGTACCAATTTCTTACATGAAGACCAGGCTTAAATTTTGAAACTATGACATTAAACTATTACTTTTTTAAGATGTCTAGTACTAAATTTTGAAAAATATTACCGACTAGCTTTTGCCCGCAAATTCGCGTGGGATTGTGACTTTCTGCAGATTTTTGGTTTAAAAACTATGTACTTTCTCGAGTTTCCAAACTATGTCTGTGCCAAATTGTACACAAATAGGTCCAGTAGTTTAGACGTGAAGAAAGGACAGACATACAGAGTTACCTTTTTATAATATTTGTTTGGATAAGGTTGGCCAAAAATCACCAAATAAAAGAAATAACCAAATTGATGAAGTTAATATAACAAACATGATTTTTTGAGAGAAGGGAATATGATCATGTTGAAATACATGACTGAAATCATATGACTACACTGGCTGCCGCGCATCGTGTAGTGGGTTCGATGTCGACACGGAACAACTCTTTGTGTGATCCAGATCATTGTTGTTCCGGGACCTCCGGGTTAAATGTTCCAACGACACAGGAGATAATCCCAGTGTGGGGCAACGTTTTTACAAATAAATTAAATAAATAAGAAAAAAAAGGTTTCAAACATCATAATCAAAATGATTTATTTTCATTTCTGGACAATCTAATATCGTTTTATCTAGATAGAAACATCATCAAAGAACATCAACCATTGACCGATAAGTCAAACTTCATTAAAATGTAAATTTGAAGAAAAAGAATGTTAAATCAAATGTAACCTTGAATTTTCTCTTTCAGGTCGTCGCATAGCTGAATTGGAAATGGACACATTTGTGACGAGATTAATAGAAAACTTCCATGTCGAATGGTTCGGACCACCGCCAACAGTTGTGCAAGAAGCCCTTAACTATATTAAAGGTCCCTACAACTTCGTATTTAAAGACATTAAATAAATGTAAAGTAAATTATTGTCGAATTTTAATATAATAACTAAATTTTTTATAATAATTTTATGTACGGTTGATTATGATATAATTATGATTGTATTGATAAAATAAATATATAAAAGGATATTATTGTTATATAATTGTTTTAATTTAGTCATAACTAAGTTCTCTTTCCCATATAAAACATAAAGTATGCTTTAAAGACAAATATGTCTTAGCAATTAAGAGCCCGAATCACAATATTAATTTGTATTTATAAAATATGTATCGCAATTTGCTCAAAGATTTTTCTATAAGATGACCTGATGGTAAGCAATCCGCTCCGTCAAGGACCACGTGCTTTGCTTTTTATTTTGGGGGTAACGACTTTGGGGATTAGGGGATTGGATTTTTCCTTAATGTAAAAAAATATAACGTAAGGTTAGTTGTTAAAATTCACTAAGTTCGGTAAACACAAAAGCACTAACAAATGAAGCACCAAAAAATGTGTTTATGAATAAAAGATGCAATATCGCTGATCTATGCAAAGTCCAGGTCACAAAGCTTGTTTGTGAGCGCCAGAGATTCTGGACCAAACACGATTTACAATTCAGATCGTACCTTCAACTGGACAATAAGAATTAAAAGTCGTAGAACAGCAACGGTCGGTAAACAACGAAGTCTTGCGGCGAGAATGCAAAGATTGTGCAAGTTCGTTAGTCAGGCGTGCCCGTCTTCCCAGATGGCTAGAGAACGGTGTTAAATAAATTCAAGAAGGAATTTCATTTAGTTTAGAACGTTCGTTGTCGTTCAACAAAATTGAGCTTTGAATTGTAATTTCCATAACTGCTACATTTTTCATATCTGGATTTAATTTTTAAATAACTGTGGACTACTGGTTCACTATTTTTAATAAATTATTTGGATCTTTTTTAAAGCGTTCTTCTATAAAAGGGTATTGACAAAATTTATGCTAACACCGTATCGCTTCTGCTTCGCACGGGTGTCAGGTGTTAGCGTACCGCCGTAGCATCAAAAGGAATGCTGTTATCTTATTTCCTGATAAAAACTAGATACATTAAGAAATTGTCTTTTGGCAAACTTTGAAAATGGTGACATGATCACAGCGTTGTTTCACCGTGTGAGTGAGCCGGGGTTGCGGGGTAAGGCCGGGATTGGGGGGTAAGGCCGGGGTTGCGGGGTAAGTGCAATGAGGCACCGCGACCTTGGCCTAGAGCAGGAGAAGAAACAGGGGGGCTTTTAGTCAGTAAGAGTCTAAACACTCCCTCCCGCCCGGCCCTGGGCGGGAGAAGTCATTTCTGTTACCGTTACCGGAGGCCCAACCCTTAGCCTCCACTTATCCCTCGTCAATTCTAAAATCCCCAACACCCCTATTCCAACTCGAAAGACTGGCAACACACTTGCAGGCACATCTGGTGTATCAGGTTCTCCTTTGCCGCCATATAACTTAAAAAAACACGAATGAATTTCAATCAGCCAGTGCCATTAGTATTGATAGTACCCCTGCAAGTTCCTTACATAACCAAAATATCATCAAATACTTGATAGCTAGGTAATTTAACGAGATTGGTATCCCGAACAAGCTGTGAGCCTGTTTATATTCATAAGATGCACCCACGCGCTATGAATACCGAGGTAGGTGGATCAGAGATTTTGCAAAACGTTGTATTTTACGATGATAGGCTTCTGTTGGGAAATGAGAGTCAATCTGACAAACTATTAGGGGGGAAAAGATGGATATTATAGCATAAAATGCGTGACGTAATTTTTCTAATATTGAATTTCTTTTCCGATTACGTCTGAGGTTGGTTCAAGGCTGTTTGCGACTTCAAACTTTATGAAATTTAAGTTTCTTATTTATGGAATATGTATTCAACAGGCCGATGCATCAACTGGTAACTATTAGGGATTGAGCCTTTTCGTTAAACACACTCACACGAAAAAAAGAGCCTGGTTTCACTCCAGTCAAGCCGGCCTATCGTGCCAAAACACACCTCTGCTTCTCTCAGACATAACCTCTTTAAACGAATATCAAGAGTACTTTGCCGATTTTAAACGATGTTAAAACTTAGGTTTTTCTTAAATCTGCACTTTTACCAAGGTAACAGTAAGACAAAGACTTGAGTTGACAAAGTTGACATAGAGTCTTGTATTTAAATAGGATAACAACGCTAGAAATCAATTTGAAACTTTAACTAAACTAAACGAATTCTTAGTATTGTCACACGTGGGGAAACGATTGTGGCTTTCACGCTACAAATGAGAATATTGACGGGCCGGAAACGCTATTGAGATCATTGAAACAATCAAGTAACTTAAACTATGCAAAGGTCCCTTAAATTAATATCAATAGTTAGATACATACAAGATAAAGGACGCAGTTGTCTTCTCTGTTCAAAATTTAAGGAGAAAATAAAAATACAAAGCATATTTATTTGTATTAATTCTTAATGCTGAGTAATGCTCTTCTCTCTAGGAGGATATTTGGGCATTGATTACCAGTAATTAAAACGCTTGCTCAAGGCCGATTGGCGTTTTAAAATTAGAAATTTATTCTATTTTTGAAATCAAAAATCCTCATTTTATTCAACGTATGTATGTCAGTGGTATGTAAATATTAAAATAAAAAATTTACCTGCTAGTCTTCGAACCTTCATGCATGAGAAGTGGGTTCCTTAGAAAGGCGTTCTTGCCACAGTGATCACACAAATGACGGTTTTACATTCATTTGAGTTCCCAGCACCAACACATAGTACGTATGTAGGTATATAAAACCTTAGAAGCTAGTGTATACCATTCCAGCGGTACCAAACATTGAGACTCCATTTAGGCCTCGATAAAAGCTTCCAAACAAATGCCTTGAAAGGGTATTAGACTCCCCTCAATCCCGTATTTAACGCCTTAAGCCGTATAAGTAACATTGCTTTTATTTCCTCACTCCATTCGCAAAATAAATCGAGAACTGATACTGTTTTTACTGTATTTATTTCAAATACTTTCTCTAGTGACGTCATTCAAATACGCACTCCACGAAAATATGGCTCATTTCTGGCTTCTGTCATTTGTTTTTTTTCGAAACTCATTTGCTAACCATTAGTAACATGTACCTAACGTTTAAAAAATCACAATTTACTAAAGCCGGACAAATAATTTTTTTTCAAATTGTCAGTATTCAATTTCTCTATAAATTTCAAACGGAATTGTGTGCAGTGACGTCATGTTTTTAACGTCAAATTGCAACCTTACTTCTTGGAAATCAGCTTAAAAAGTAGACATATTAATTTTATCACAAAGTTTTTTATTAAATTCATTTTTCAGATTTAATTTCACTACCTATATAGTTTAAAGCAAAGTCGCTTTTTTGTTTCTATTTCGCTATATTCGCTTAAATTACGCAAAGGATTTTGATGCTGTTTTTTTTTAAACGGAGTGATTGAAGAGGAAGGTTTATAATGTATAAAGACTGTGCGGACGGGTCGCTAGTAATAATATAGAATAAAATAATTTATTTTTGACTAAGCCAAATACACAATTACGAATGACACACCTTTGACTCCCAAGTGAGATAGAGATGCAGGGTACAAACATTTTTCACCAACTATATTATGGGGTCCCGCGGGGCTCTTCAGGTTACAAGCCGGTGCAGCCGATGTTAAAACTAAAATTGTCGAATAGCTTTTGTTCTTTGTAAGCCTAAAACAAATATACTAACAACATCTACTGCTAGTATATTTTCTATGGTAGTAAAAACTTTATTGAATAAGGTAATAAATACGCATTTATTTCTTTTTTTTTAAACATGTTAGCTAGATCTACCATTACAAGATTCTCCAATGCGATAGATAGGTCTTTAATACAACATCCACTCACAAACTTAGTGCAAAATTTCTAAATTCTTAATTCTTATATAAAACAAAGCCAACAAAAACAAAATCAACATCTTAAAGACGATATAGCAAAGTTACAATAATGACGAAAACGCTTCCAATTCAGTGTTAATTTGACCTCTTATCAGTTGAGCACATTCGGAGACCCATTCCCGGTGCCAAAGACCAATTACTGTTGTAATTGGAATAGGTAGCTTCAGTAGAATATTGTAGGGTCCCCAACAAATATTATCGTTTCTATTGAAGCTCTGTAGGCGTTTGTTAGCTGACGACTAAAGGGTCTGTTTGGTCCTTTGTTACCGCTCTTATTGTACATGTTCGCATTTCTTGATATAAGGATGAAACGTCGCAACTTGATTTAATAGTTTGATCTTTGTATTGTGTGCGACGGACTGATATATCTAATTGCCGATTTCGTATTGATGTCGTCTGTGTACTTTTTCTTCTTTTTCAGGTTTTCGGGTCTTTTGTAGACATTACAAGACTCAAATACGTAAAACTTACAATAGAGACAACGTACGTAAAATATAATATCGGTTTTGTTTGATTTGATTGATGAAGTGTTTTCATATATTTGTAAGTACATTTTGGTATCATCAACCACAAAGAATTAGTTTTAATCAATTTTCTCACCAACCTCGAGTTTTTAATAATAAAACAAATAAATCAAACCGTTTAAAAAACGGCCTTATGATTATTGAACATAAATCTATGTATATCTTCGTCAAACACTTAGTTTACGAGTTTGTTTGTTTCAAAGCGCTAATCTCCAGAACTACTATTTCGAATTATATAATTTTGAAAATTCATTTATCGAAGAAGACTATAGGTAATTAAAATATCAGGCTCCGATCAACAGATGCAGAGCAGCGGATACAACCGCATGAGTAGCTAGTAGGTACAAAAATAGGTTATTCATTACATTCCTGATTATCTTATACAAGAACATGCCTTGAAGAGTTTTAGACAAAGCTTTGGATTTGTAATAGAATAGAAACAATGCCTGAAGGGACAGGGAGACGAGAACCAAAATGTTTTTGGTTGTATAATCAAATTTTGTCACAAACAAGCTTCTGTTTACTAAATATCAAACCAAATTATATTTTTAACTAGATTTGTCTGGAACTGGAAGGTCATATTACGGTTTTT